AATTAATCGAATAAATAAATCGATTGCACACATTTCTAAGAAAAATTACAAGCGTGTAAAAATATCGATTAGAATCAACGATTAATAAAATTCTTACTTGTTTATATTGCAACTAGGACTATATGATCTAGAAACAGACAAACCGCCGAGCGAAATTAGTCAACTAGAATTGTCGATATATAACACTAATGATTTCGGAGATGTATTGCACCAATATAATATCGAGTAACATTAATTCTGATGAATTTAATTTTCTAATTCTATCCATGCCGCGAGCTACAATTTAAATGGAACAATCGTAATTGTTAACGTTGATGATTTGAAGTTGCAGCTGAAACTGTCTCTGATGGAACAACGAGACAGTATAGTGAACGAAGTGATTTATTATTTCAATATGATTACGTTTGCTTAATATGTCCAGTGACTATTACAAGTCTATAAATTAGAGTGTACGCGAATTAAAAATAATCACCAAAGACACAACTCGTGATGATTAGCAAACAAATTGGATTAAGTATGATTGAAAACGCCGAGTTTTTATTGACACAAGTAGCAACTAAGCAAATATAATCACGAGATATTACTGACGTATAAAGTGACATTATAGAGAAGCCATCATAAGGAGGGAGATTATGAAAATAGTCCTCTTATACGTCAGCTATTTTTATGTGATTATGTTTGTATATACGTCAACAGCATCAACAGAAGTTTGAATTTGATTATAGAACTGCGAATCGTTTGGATATAGTCTTAATTCGTTTTCTATTTGCAGATCATATAACTTATCGTTATCAAACTTATCTTCGCAATTCTCTTTAATTTATGACGCAACAGTTTACTTTTATTAATCACAGTCTGTGTTATATTATTTAAAGACTAAAAATACAAAAGCTTTGCTTTATTTTTTAAAAAGTTGTGAAATTAATTAATGACAGATTAATTCAAAATATAAAAATTCTTCTCTCTTTATTTTACATTATTTGCTCTACAAAAGAAAGCAGCACCAGATAGAAAAATTAAAAAACAATTTGTAAAAAATCTGTGTCATTATTTCAATATTACAGAATATTTATTTGAAATGACGTAATATGCTAAAGTTTTCAACATATTCATTGGAAAATATCAAATTACAGCTTATATATTCCAAAGGTATTCGCTTAATTAATCGGGTAGTGTCTGGAAACTTTAGAAATTCCTCGAAAAAAAGAAAAAAAGGTTTAATTGAATAAAATGACGCAAACTGACAATTAAAGTTCTTGCCATTTCCTGGTTTTACGTAGTCGCTGCAATACGCGTAACTAATTGGTCCAGATGTTAACGAAGAAGCTATAATTTAGTTTCGGTAAGAGATATTACCTTCCCTTGAGACATGAAGAAGATATTATCCTTGCCTGATCTCTGTTTTTCTCTGTATGAACAAGTAATCCTCGCCAATGGGATTTCTGGCAAACATAAAGACATACATTGCGGTAGTTACTCATAGCTATGTATTCACTGTATTGTCAGTTTGCAACTGTGTTTCGAAAAATCAGTTATATTTTTTCTTTTCTAATAATTAGAACGTCGGAAAGCTTAAGAAAATTTATTTTGGGATGCGGCATTTAACGAAAACGACATCTTTTCTTTGAATTAACATATAAATTGAATTTTCAATTTAAATTCTGTTCTAAAATAATATATAATATTAATTCTCTCTCTGTGAAATATTATATAATTATTTTAATTATAAATACTATAATATATGATTTAGAAAAATAAAACAAATATACTTGCAACTTTTTGTTAAAACAGACTTGAAGATTGAATCTAATTGTAAATTAATTGAAGGATAGGAGAAGAATATGCTTGTTAGACAATATCTAATATAATTTATAAAATAGAAATCGATATTTCTTTAAAGGATGTTAAAATATATCTATTTATAAAATTCTAATAAGAAAATTCTAATAGAAAAAATATGAATATGAAGTATCTATTATTTTTTATTATCAAGTTTTTATTTATTATTTATTTATTATTTAGTTTCGGTGAAATATTGAAATGTTTCTAGGAAGGAAGCTCGGATTTTATTCACAGAAGTAAAAGATTGTTGCTTTATATTTTATACGATTTTATTTTATTATGTAGCGCGAACAATCAAATGCCATTGTGAAGAAATCAGTAGGAAAATCTATCTTATTATTACAATGCTAAATTTGAAATGGTGCTTCAACTTGATCAACAACGAAATCGACCATCAATATCGCTCGCAAGTGCGATGATAACGAGAACTCGGAATGTAATCATTGAATAACACTCAATTTTCGCGAAATTACGTTATATGATCTAATATAAAAAATGCATATAAAAAAAAGGCATTAAACTGTGTTAAGGAAGAGGATTAATGAAAAACGCAAAATGAGAGGATACGAGAAAAGCGTCACATGCAAGACGTGACAAAGAGCGTTCGAATGCACTTACGTTTATCGCTTACAGTATTTTACAAGTGTATAATGTTCGTTATTGAGACATATTCTATAAACGATAAATAACAATCGAAGAATGATTTTTCATAGTAGCTACTCCACAACGTTAAAGAACGAATTGAGATAACACTTTACTATATTTATTTATTACACTTTACTTATCTGAGAAAAAATTAATTGAAGCGCCTCAAAAGGAGAAAACACATCAGAGAAAAAACACGCATTTTTGAATTACAAAAATTAAAATATTTTTTAAAATCTTAAAAACGGATTGTTTAATATTGGAGAATATTTTTCACGTTGAGGAAAAACACTTCTCTAGCATGCATTTTTCATTCATGACGTGTAATAATTCTTTTGCTTTATTCTACAATTTTTTTTATAGGAGAATATTTTCTTGTTTTAATATTTTTTTTTAATTTAACAATTCATAAAATTTAATGCAATTTCCAGAAACTTGATTAATATTCTATGAAATTCCAGCACTTTGTGTAACATATCATGTAACACAAGCCATACATTTTTTAACGTTACTAAAAAATTAAATATCGATAAATACCTGTAAATTTTAACCGCGAAAAATGTATCCACATTAACTTCAACCTTGAGAACTGTGATATTTAAAAAGCGTTTTTTAGTGACAGCTGAACATTTGTTCACTGCAGCTCATTTTAATCATAAAAGATGACTTGTGCGCCACTTTAAGAATGCAAAATCCACGTTATTTTGCGTGGAATTTTTCAGTATTAAATATTAATCTTCCTATATTCTATACGGTACTGATCCCACAATATTAATCGACGTGAACATTTAATATCTGTGTCTAATAATTATGTAATGATAAATTATACTCGCCATGTATGCGCGGGAGTATCGAATAAGCGATTGACGTGTGCTAGTACTTTTATTATAATAAATAAGAGAGTACATCCTGCACAATTGTGTAAATCTGAAATTGTGTAAATCTGAAATTTTCCTTCTTGCAAGTCTTACATCTTCTGGAAAGTTTTGTTTGAGCTTCCTAAGAAAATGACGTTACATTAATAAGGTTCTGTTGATAATCTCTTATCACCGGACGAGGAAGGTATGATTTACTGCATAATTGTCTCGAGTATCTTTGATAAATTCTCTATTAGAAAAAAATCTTGCTGTATGTCATACTATGACGTATCGTAGGAGAATCATGTTATCGTAACGGCTATTAACGTTCGTTTTTATTCAATAAAAATATTTTTTTTTATTATCAGTATTTCTCAGTTTATTATATACATTTCTGAATCATTTCTTATTTAAAAATTTTAGAGATTGTTTTTTATAAAAAATTCTAGCAAAATTCACCAAGTATACTTATTTGATTTACATTAAACTTTTAAAATATGAAAATAAAATAGAATTTATTTTTATTTTTATTTTCCATGAATTTTATATTGAAGTTTTTTTTCACAAAATTGAATTTTAAATACTTTGTTTTATGAAAGCATTTTATGAGAAAAATTATCTTGTGTATTTTATTTCTCAATTATATATTAATTACAATAGTTTTAAATTTAAAATCTCTTACACATACATGTATCTACATGCATAAATATGAAAAAATTAATAGTAATTGCATTCCTTTCTAATCTTGTTCATAGATTTCATGAAAAGTGATAATAACTTTGCACTTTTTATACGATAATCTTGGAGCAATAAAAATTGAATATCTATCAATTCAACAATCGCTATTTTATCAATACGTTTTACCGCAGGGGGAATTTCCATAGTAAATATGCAATATCATAAAGTCAAGGTTACGATTACGTTACATAAAATAAACTACATGCACGTAGAAAAATATATATAATAATTTTCATTCAGGTTTTAGCTACGTCACATAAAAAGTCGTTTTAAATATCTGTAAAATAGTTTGTGACATCCGTTTAAAAGAACGAACACTTCCAATTATGTATTCACAAGATTGTCAAACGTAAAGTAAGAAAATAAGAATATAACACTGAATAAGTGCGCATATTGCAAGAATCTTTTCTATTGCAAATTTTGTACAAATCTATTGAAAATAAATTACTTTTAATAATATACAGAATAAATAATATACAGAAAGAGAGGGAGAAAGAGCGAGAGAAAGAGAGAGAGAGAGAGAGAGGGGAGGGAGGGGAAAAGAATGTAAAGTTTAGTTATAAAAGACAGTAAAATTCGTTGAGATAAATTTTTACAAATAATTTTGTTTTAAAATATTTGAAAAGAATATTTTGTTTATATATTGTTTATATACTATATATGAATCTAACTATATTTTTCCCGCCTTTTTCTCTCTCTCAAAAGTCTCAAAATATATTATGAATTATATCTAAATAATATATGAATAATATTTAATAAAATTTTCAGTTATTTTTTAATATTGACGTATAGAATATTTTTTTAATTATGTCATTTATAGTCATCTTAGATCAAATTTTCGACTAAGCAGTTCTAAAATTTAGATGTTAAACATTAAATGAATGAAACACAAAATTATAGAAGGAAAGTTGTAAATTAAATTTCATCACTCAATTCACAAATTGTTTACGACTTTAATCAACTGATTGCGGTTGAATAGCTCTTCGATAGCCTCAATCATAATCTGTGTTATCTTACCGTAAGATACTGTAGTCGTCATGAAAACGCCGTTTTTATACCAAAAGAAGATAATAGAAGTAAGACGCACCTATGTATACTGACGTTGACATTTTTTTATCCTCCAAAACTTACGTGGTAGCGCTTTATGTTTATCGTATAGAGCAGAAAGATAATGTCACTCTTTATCACGTAATTTTCTGGAAAAATGCAGTTAATGGAAATCGCTTTAAACGTTTTAGGAAATATATTTTTCAGGGTTGCGCTTATCTTCTTGAAAAATAAGATTACACAAAAAAGAAAAATAAAACAAAAATCAGTATTTATTTATTATTAAAAAATTTATTTATTGGTCAAATCATCTTTTGTGTAAAATTTGATTTATATATTCTTGAATTCTTACCTGAACTTGAATATATAATATATTATATTCGTGTCTTTATATTAACTTAAAGTAATGTATCACGGAGTTTATAATAATATATTAATAGCTATTCTTATTTTCAAAATATTTTTCAACATTTATAATAAACTAAAAATTTGTTTTAAATATATATCTATTATTATCGCAATTAATTCTATTTCTGGCTATAATGTAAAAAATTGCATGACTAAATGCATATATTTTCTTATGCATGAGTGGAATGTCACAAAGATGATTAATCATACATTTAGTATTAATTATGAAATGAAACATTTAGTATTAATTATAAAATAAAGTGATGAGATAGTATTTAAAATTGAAATATTATTTCTTATTATTTTCTCGTACGATAATACACATATGTTTACAAAATAATTTTAAAATGTACACAACTGATAAAAATCTCATGTGTTGTATACACATCGATAAATTTAGGTGAATAAAAATTATATATTACAGAAGAATAATAACAACATGTTCAAAAACATAAGAAAATTTACAAACGAGAATAAGAGAGAATAATAAGTCATTCGTTAGATTTAATTTTCTTTTCAATTTTCGGCAGTTTATATTCTTTTTAGGCAGTTCTTTTCCTAATGTATCGCTAACAAAAAATTTTTTTTATTGTTTGTCCATATGTCACGCTACAAGCAAGTCAAAATTTCATTAATACAAGCGTCATTTAAGCATTTGTCCTCTTCGATACGTTGCCCTGCAATTCCTCCTGAATCTCCTGGGAGGTTTTTCCTTTGGTTTCCGGTACGTAAAAGTACGTAAATGCAGTGCCGAGCGCCATGATTGCAGCAAAGATCCAAAAAGTAACGTCCGCGCCCAAGCCTTCGTTCATCGCGGGGAAGGTCTTCGTTACTAAGAACACTAAGAACCAGTTCAGCATCACGGCAATACCGGAAGCTACCGCCTTAGTCTCCGCGGGAAACAATTCACCCATCAGCATCCATGGTATTGGGCCCATTCTGTACATAAAATGTAATACATGCAGTTGATGTTTCTCTCGTTCTTTTTACACAATTTAGACTAATTGCTATGTCAAATACTTCAGTCAAAATGACGACAAATCAGTTTGTTTGCTGAGATCTCAGTAAAATCTTTCTTTTTCTATTTATTTATATTACAATAATCTATATTACAATAATCTATATTACAAATTCAGAAATTATTATTACCTATATTATGGATTGTGATAATTTCTGAATTATTTAATCTGAAATATTTAATATAGTAATAATAGAGAAAAAGGATTAATTGCATGGATAGTAACATGGGATGATTTTCAAGGATAATTTATACCGAATATGAATATGTTATTCCAGATTATTTCAAAAGATCTAAATGCAATTTAGTTGCAATACTTACCCAACGGAAAAAGAAATCATGAATAACGTTAGAGATGTGAGTGGTAGCCAGCCGAGATTACTGACATCACTTCCTCTCATCTTAGTATTGAAATACAAACCGAGAGCTACGAGACTGATCAGCATGACACTCGAGGAAAATATTAGTAGCGGTTTCCTTCCAGCACGATCTACGATCATTGCTGCTATAACTGTCGTAATCATCTGCCAGAAACGATGGTTTCAGGTTAAATATCGTCGTCCACAACGATTAGATAGTTAATGATAATTGCAAGAGACAGATATTAGATATATTTTTAATATATGAGATATGTTTTTAATATATATTATACTGTGTGTGTATATATATATATATATATATATATATTGGGTTGTCCGAAAAATTCGTGCCGA